ATAAATAAATAATAAATAAATAAATTAATTTGTTTATTTATTTTTTTGTTTATTAGGCCAAAGCAGTGGCTGCAGCTGAGGGCGGCGCTGGTGACTTCTTTTGCTTTTGTTTTCAAAAGTTCTTTTATTGTTGCTGCTGCTGAGGGGCTGCTGCTGCAGCTGCTGCTGACGCCAGCAGCAGCAGCAGCAGCAGCAGCAGCAGCAGCAGCAGCAGGGGGGGCTGCTGGCCACGGGGGCCAGAAAAGCGTCGCTGAACTGGAGGTGCCGACGGTCCGAACAAACCCTAAACCCTAAACCCTAAACCCTAAACCCTAAACCCTAAACCCTAAACCCTTAATCTATGTCCTGAGCCCTAAACCCTAAGGCACGATTGTGGCAGCCATCAGCGCGTTGCTGCTGCTGTTGCTCTGGCTGCTGCTGCTTCCACTGTGTTGCTGCCGCTGCTGCAGCTGCTGCTGCAGCAGCTGCTGCAGTTGCTGCTGCTGCTTCTGTCGCTGCTCCTCTGCCTTCGTCTGTTGCTGCTGTTGCTGCGCCTACAGCTGCTGCTGCTGCTGTTTCTGCTGCTGCAGATAAGCCTGGGCAGCTTGCCTAGCAGCAGCAGCAGCAGCAGCAGCTGCTGCTGCTGCTGCTGCTGCTCTGTGCTGTCAGCAGAAGATGAAGGCGTTTTGGTTTTAGCTGGAGATGAAATTCGGCGTTTTTGTCTTTTTCCATTTAGTGTCCCTTTGATGGAAAACCTCCAAACCCTAAATTGGTGAAATCAGGGTTTAGGGTTTAGGGTTTAGGGTTTAGGGTTTAGGGTTTGCGGCTCTCAAAGTTCCCGACGCCACCGAGCTCCGGTGACTGGGGTTTGTGCGGCTAGGGCTTAGCGTTTAGGGTTTGGCTGCTAGGGTTTAGGGTTTAGGGTTTAGGTTTTGGCTGCCAGAGTTTAGGGTTTAGGGTTTAGCGTTTGGCTGCTAGGGTTTAGGGTTGAGGGCAGCACTCCAGTGACTTGTGCTTCCAAACTCCAAACCCTAAACCCTAAACCCTAGATTTAAACAGACGCAGCAATGCTTGCAAACCTTAAACCCTAAACCCTAAACCGTTAACCCTAAACCCTAAACCCTAAACCCTAATTTGTGCTGCTGCAGGGACGCCGCTAAACTCGCCTGCTGTCTCGGCAAACACCGCAGCCTTTGGCTTTGCCTTCTTACAGAAGCCCTACAAACAATGTAAGTCGATCTTTTGCTTCGCCAATTCTTGCACCAGTCTAGCCCAAACCCTCGCCCTCTAGCCTCCCTAATCCCAATACTGCCTCGGGCGGTTTACGTTCGCGTCCGCGTAGTACCGCGCCACGTTTGGCTGCGCTGTCTTCCAAACTGCCCCTCGTGAAGCGCCACCTGGAGGCCTTCGCAGTCACTATTCTCGCAGTGGTCTAAACCCTAAACCCTAAACCCTAAACCCTAAACCCTAAAACCCTAAACCCTAAACCCTAAACCCTAAAGAAGGGCGAAATGTTGCACAGCGAAGTCAACAAACTGTTCACCAACGCGGGGGTGTTTCCCGCGCCCTGCATAAACCCTAAACCCTAAACCCTAAACCCTAAACCCTAAACCCTAAACCCTAAACCCTAAACCCTAAACCCCCACCCTAAACCCTAAACCCTAAACCCTAAACCCTAAACCCTAAACCCTAAACCCTAAACCCTAAACCCTAAGGGTGTAACTTGTTGAGGGGGTTGTTCTTTTTACAGAAGTGGCTGCTGGGGTTTAGGGTTTAGGGTTTACAGGGGCTAGGGTTTGTGTGGCTCTTCAGGAGCAGCAGCAGCAGCAAGGGTTTAGACAGGGTTAGGGTTTTGGAGTTAATTGGGGGTTTAGAAAACATAAAAGCAGCAGCAGCAACACTGCAAAGAAGAGAAAAGAATGAAGAAGCAATTCAGATGTGCAGCAAATACTGCCTTTGGGAGGTCTGCTGCTGCTGCCGCTGCTGCTGCTGCTGCTGCTGCTGCTGCTGCTGCTGCTGATGCTGCTGCTGCTGCTGATGGCTTTGCTACTGCTGCGGTTTGTTGCTGCTGCTTCTGCTGCTACTGGAAACACTACCGTTGCTGCTGCTGTTGCTTATCTGCTGCTGTTGCTGCTGCTGCTGCTGCTGCTGCTGCAGATGAATTTATGTCGGCTAAGCAGCTAATTTGAAAGCTTTAAAGTTAATTTTTAAAATAAATCATTTAAACAAATTATTTAATTTAAATTATTTATTTATTTATTTATTTATTTAATTTATTTATTTATTTTATTTAGTTATTTATTTATTTATTTATTTATTTATTCTTCAGGATGCTCTGCAGCTGCTGGGGAGCGCAGCAGCAGCAGAAAAAGTCTTGAGCAGCAAGAGAGAGCTGCTGCAGCAGCTCGAAACAAACCCTAAACCCTAAACCCTAAACCCTAAACCCTAAACCCTAAACCCTTGAAGGCGAATCTGGGGAGGAGCACTGAGTAGCAACGCCTCCCTGAAAACCCTAGGGTTA